CCAGACTATATGCATTGCAATCCTTACATGGGCTCATAATGGGATAGATATTTAAATATCATATTTATTGTAAAAATCGTACTTTTTTTATAGAAAATGAACAAGTAGACTCACCCAAAAGACATGCCGTTTGGTCCTATTATTCACTAGTGCCATCGTTCCAAATATCAAGATCCCCCGCTGAAACAACCATTATAACTAACAATCAGAATAAATACAATAATAGATGTAAATTGCAAGTAAAGTTAGGGAGTACAAAAGACCATGTTTTTTATATCAGTATGAATTTATATGTGACATCCCGAATTTCATGGCCAGAAAAGACCGATTTGTTTATGCTTTATTTTATAAATCAGAGTAATCGTTTAAAGAAAACGGTTGCGGAATTTGTTCCCAAAACAATATATGATAAAAACTTATCAAAACATTTCTCAAAGAGAATGTATTTTCATTAAATAATAAAACCTCGGGATGTCATGTTTCGATATAGACACATAAGCATAAACAGAACATACATTCATTTACTCTAGTGATTTACATCTCCTTTAATCTCTCAGTGCAAAGCAGCTTCGTATCGATACCTGTGATACAATTAAACTGAGTGGGTCAGGCTTGGGAGCCTGGTGAGCATATAGGGTTTTCATCCCACAATGTTATATCATATAAATATATATAGAACATCCAAAATTATATAATTTCACCATATAAAAAGCAACTCTTATCCCACCCCATCGATCCTCACAATGCCACGATCTAAACTCTCGTATCTAAACTTTTCATCTTTATCTGATCCCTACTCACGGATCTAAACTAATCTCTCCACCTGATCCATACTCTCGGACCTAAAACTAACCTCTTGGTCTAATCCATACTCCCGGATCTAAACTAATCTCTTGGTTTGATCCATACTCCCGGATCTAAAACTGTGCCCAATCCATACTCCCGGACTAGGGACAATTTACTATGTCTTAATCCATACTCCCGGATTAATGACAAGTTTACCTATTGGTCTGATCCATACTCCCGGATCTAAAACTGTGCCCAATCCATACTCCCGGACTAGGGATAATTTGCTATGTCTTAATCCATACTCCCAAATTAATAACAAGTTTATCTCTTTTCCTATTCCATATTCTCGGATCTAAATCCAATCTCTTTATCTAATCCATACTCACGGATCTAAAACTAACCTCTTGATCTGATCCATACTCACGGATCTCATCTACCCATGTCCTACCCAACATATTCGTAGATACTATATATATATATATATATATATATATATATATATATATATATATATATATATATATATACAGTTTAACTCATTAAAACCTATATAGTTCATCCATTTCATACTCAATCTCAAATAAACAAACAATATATAAACACATAGCACGTATTTCATAACAAATACTTAATATTTATGTGTTAGAAGAATGTGACCACACACTCACCCAAAACATATACTTAATACATTCAAACAATACTTGTATTATAATCGTGTTTATGAAAGGGACTATACATTCACACCAAACATATACTTAATACATTCAAACAATACTTGTATTATAATCGTGTTTATGAAAGGCAGTATACACTCACTTGATCAGAAGACGATCGGACAACACTACGACTTGTAGAAGTAGTATTCTTCGGTGAAACCGGGATCACTTCACACACCTAGTTTCTCGCGGGCAGAGCTTCGGCTCGGAAACTCTTTTCTTCTCGGGATCTTCGGGATTCGGGACTTGCTTCGGGTCTCGGGGTTGATACCGGGGCTTCGGGGGTTAAAATAGGGCTTAGAGGGTGTATCGGGAGTGGGAGAGAAGGGATGGAGCAACCATAGTCGTCTGGCCCTTCAAATCTATTTATAGGGCAAATTTGGCCCTTGCCACGTCGTGGGATCCTTTTGCCACGTCGTGGGCTTGATCGTCACTGCATGCGTCATCCCAAGTTGCATCTGGGGGACTCCCGGAGCTGTCAGGAGATTTGCCACGTCGTGGTCTCTAACAGTTTTGGGGTTTCGCGCCCCGAACTTCAGAAATTCATAACTTTCGCATACGAACTTCGTTTTCGACGTTCTTTATATCGACGCGAATGTGAGATTATGCTCTATAACTCTCGTTTAGACTCCATTGGCTAGTTTTGACTTTATTTTTAATATATTATAAGTATATTACTTATATACTATCTATAGTAGGCCGGGACAGGAAAACTCTGTTCGAAATTCATAACTCCTTCATCTGAACTCCGTTTTCGTCTGTCTTTTTAGCGTTGGACTACTATAGAATAAATATTCAACTCTTGTTTAGATCACTAAGGATAGATATCTATCTACCTTAAGTTCACTATTTACGTCGCGCTGGGTCGCGCTGGGTCGTGTCGGTTCTGTCGCGAAACTTCGACAGGTCATAACTTCTTCGACGACTTGGTTAAGATTAATCCTTTTAAATAATCTTCCATCAAAAAGTCATTTTTTGATGCTTATCGTCTCTAAATTGACTAGCCCGGATCTACGGGTGTTACATCATGCTTTTGGTCTTTTCCAACCGTCGCATCTTCTGAAATATCGATCCAAGATTGTGCCAACACTAACGCTTCCAAAGGTTCCCAACATCTAGCCTCCGCCTTCTCTTTTCTTTTAGTCGCTGCTCGAGTGGGCTGAGTTTCTGTAACGAATTCCGGTTCAGAATCAGAAACAACCATTTCTGGTTGTGTTTGTGTTTGTTGAAGAAACTCGGGTTCGTACAAAAAATCAAATGGATTAAAATCCGGGTCGGGTTGTGGTAGTATAAAATCTTTTTTTTATTAGTAAACCAGTAATATAAAATCTTTTTTTTATTAGGAAATCATTAATACCGAAAAATCATATTCTAATTATCACATACATATACGATTCATCATTGAATCCGCGATTCACATTTATTTTCAATCGTTTCTTTTCTTCAAACATTCTCCTACAACATCGTTAATATTGCTTATAACTTCCATCATCATTCTCTGCTATCAACATTAGCTCTTGTGCGCTAGAAGGTCAGTACCTTCTTTCGCTTTTTATATTTTTTTTCGATCATTTTTTGTTCCTATATCAAATGTATGTATTCATATATTTCGATTTTCTTTGTCACAAATTACATGAAATCAGTTAACTACTTTTCTGAAACTTTTCAAATAAACATGAAAAGGTATTAGGTACCTTTAACAAAACAAAAAATAACTATCCTGGTAACTGACATTAATTACGAAAATGTTACTTTTATATATTAGAGATGATTATGATTTTTTTTTTAATTTTTATGTCATAAGAATCTGGTTAATTTTGGCATGATTTTAAAATATCATTGAAATTATTATGTTTTTAGATATCATATCAACCTACTTTTTTATCTTCGTATAGTAACAATAAAATTTATTAATTTACACAACAAATATAGATATTTCAAATTTTGTAATATTATTATACCTTACAAAATACAACTCCTTCCAAAATAAATTTTCGTCAGTAATTTCATCCATAATTTCAACAAATTTAAATTTGTATTTTCTTTATATAATTTTTTTTAATGATCCTGATTTTTTTTTCTCCAAAAGTATATCAAACATTTACGTTTTAGATAATGCTGCCCTATTATAATTATTATTTTCCAAAAGTATATCCGTTTAATGAGGAATTTGATATAATAAAGGAAGTGAATGTTAATTAAAATGAGATATATATTCCATAATTATTACATGAGTTTATTAAAAAAATTAATATCAAGGTGTAAACATTAAACATTTTTAAAGTGAAATTTCAGAATACATACAAACGATAATGTTGTACAATGAAATATAAAATTGAATAGACTGAAAAAAAACACTATTAAAGCAGTCAATTTGAAAATAACATAGTTATGAAAAATTATAAAGTAAGATTAAAATTATAAGATATTAGGAGATTTGTAAAAAGTACATTTAGTAAAAGCGTTACGGTTATTAGAAAAAATAAGACCGTTAAGATTAGTGAAAATAGAATATATAAACTAAATTATCACAATAGTAATGAAATGTCATTATTTGATATTTCATATAATTGACAGATATATCAAAATAAATTGATATACTAAAATTATTCAAAGTTGCCAAAATTTTTGCGAACACTAAATAAATAAGAACAAACATAAAAACTAGCATTTATATTTATAATCAGTTTAAAATAAATCAATCATGATTTAGAAAAGAATCTCCATTGATGATATACTAAAATTAAATCTATATAACATTTAAACTTTATAAATTATATTACATATCTTTATTTGAATAAATAAAATAGTTGTTAATATTTAATGCAATAGAAAAAATGGTATATTGATTGTCAATATATGTTTAAATTAGGTAACATTATTATGCAATGAACGTCTAATTAAAATGCTTATAAATATATAAATATCATAACTATATAAGACGATGAAAATCGTTCAACTAATAAAACAAAAAATGATGTCTACAAAGAGATCTTTCAATTATTATATATATTTATCGTTTTCAATGTATTTTCTACATATTTCAATAATACCAATAACCATATATTTTTTTTATAATCATTATACAATATCTATAAACGATTATATGTTTTTTTATGCGTTTCCCGCGTTTAACGCGGGCTATAATCTAGTAGGTTAAACATTCCAAAAACCACAAAGTGATTTTACAAATCAAACCTCATGCGGACGATATCAAGAACTAAAAACTTTCATAAAAGTAATACATGATTTCCACGTATCAAATGGACATTCTGAGGATACTGAATCTGAATAGACAAATAAATAGATAAATAATCATATTTTGGTTCTAACATATTGTAAGCATATATATATATAATATACCTTTAATGCAAGAAGCAATGTGATAGTCTCCAAGGTATGTTTGACATAATCACCAACGAATATTTAGTCAGTATATCTGAAATGGAATGCTCAATGGTCAATAGATTCTAAAAAAATTTGGAAAAATGGCAATCAAAAGCATAGCATATGTACATTGTCTCTAGAAGTAGAAGGAAATACGTATTCATCAAAGAGGCGCATGAGATCACCAAACTGTCCATGTAAATCACTAAACACTTTCATCAGAGCTTTCAACTGACATATTAATCGATATCATAAAATTCACAACGCATTCAAACTACACACATTTATAATCGTTTCCTTTTTCACAAAGCCAACTACAAAACCGCTAAAGATGGTATTCACCTTCTACATAAAAATTTGGCATTTATGTAGTCTGGAAGATAGAAACAACAAAAGTCAAACCTTAGGAAAAAAATAGGTTTCTATTATTGTACTACCTCCCCACCCAAAAGAGCACAGTCAAATTGTTGGCAACCATCAACAAATCCTTTTATATCCTTTTCAACAATCTCAACATGAAGACGAATTGTTGCATAGTAATCGAGAAAGAATAAAGGCTTTACTCTAGATATGATGACGTCATTCTCACTCATTCCCACCTAAATGTAAAAAAAAATAGTGATAACAAAAAATACTACGATAATAATAATAATGTCGGAAAGTTAGTGAATTTTATTATTACCAAATCAATTCGAATGGAATCATGGATTCCAGTCTCCAATGTCAACTTAAGTTTGGTTCCGTACAAGATATGAATCCCCTAAAAACATAAATTAATTAAAATGAGAAAAATGTACATAAGAAATAGATTTTAATTTTTAATGCTAATAAAAAAGAAATAGTAAGTAGAAAAAGGCGACCAAAGAATTTTGTTAACATTTTAATTACATAATACATAATATAGCACACTACACCATCTCATTGTGCGACTATAACCTTCACCTGGCTTGATGAAGTTTGAAAGACCGAATTCAGTAAGTTTTATATCAGAATCTTTAGTTTTGGACATGAAAAGGATGTTCTGCACACAACCCAGACAATTTTAAAAAACATGGTCAATAACATTATATTATATATAGTTTGTCAAATATGAAAAAAAACACATACACATACAATTTAGATTTTATAACTTCAACTTTTGGAAGGAGAAGCTTTTGGACGATCCAAAGTTATGTAGTTTACATTTGTGCATCATGAATGAGCAAGTAAAAAAACATCTTCACATAAATGTTAGTCTCTATGTGACCATCACCATCTGTGAAGAGAAGTTGTTGGATAATACTTTTCTGGTTGGTTCTATATCTGCACTACTTTAATATTTCTTCCTTTTATCCTCCCTATGTTCCTTAACTGTGTTTGTATGAGTAGCACAATCATTGATCCAACAAAATATAATTAAATTGATGAGATCGTTAGGAACAAAACAATAAAATAATGGTCTACTGATGGTTACACACGAACAAATGATTGTTGGCATAATGTGCAAAAGCCTTCATTGGAAGATTGAATTGTCATGATCTTCTAGTGCCCTTTATAGATCAATAATAAGATCACAACAAAGAAAACTCAAAAGTAAAGAAAGCATGAGAAACAAAATATAAACCTAGGTTTGGATTCTTGTAGCTTATAGAGAATATAAGCATTCCCCTTTTGATCGTTTTGTGTCTTTATCAACCACCAAATGGGATTCATATACTGTGAAACTTGTTGAAGTGGTCTCTTAGATCATCTTCTCTATTTTTTTCATAACAAATCATTAACATAGTTCGATACATAATATCGTAATCTTTAAATATAAGAATTTGAATAAGATAAAACACATACGTAGCACTGTATAGAAGATTATGAACAAAAAGACAGCCAGTTTGACCCTTATAATTTAAGTAAAGACGAAACCAACGTTTATCTCAAGGTATATTATGGTGATGTATCTACAAAAGCAGCATGATATTGTACATATTGATGTTGTATCTTATCACATGAATTCGATCTTAAAGCTAAGTAAACTAAAAAATCACAGCATTTGTGATTCCACTTGTTTATAGACTTGTTTAGAATCCATGATACGATAAATCATTTGATTGGAAATGTAAATGTACTCGAACTTGTTGTTTGTGTTCACCATAACCCTTTGACCGGCTATCACAGGTCAAAAGCCGGTCAAAAGGGTTTTGGTGAACGCAAACAACAAGTTCGATGGTATATTGAATACAAAAAAAAATGGGACAAAATGAGTACGATCGCAAAAGTTAATTACCCTAAAGAGTCATTTTCCAAAAAAAAAAATGTCGATTTTAGATATTCCATGTAAATCGAAAACCTTTTTAAACAATATCCATAAATTTTAAAAAGATCCATATCAATTTACCACCCCTAAATTATCAATCAGAATTTGTATAATCAACATATTAAAGGGAATGAAAGTTAGTTTTCTCAAACAATTAGGGGTGGTAACTGTAAATATGAAAAGAAAAGTCCAAAACCTTTTTCTTACATATTCCAAACTAGATCACACATCAGCGGCGGACATTGGCTGTCCGACTTCCAACGCCGGCGTCTGTCACTCTCTCCCACATACACACCCACAGCCAGTGAGATATTTCGAATTTTATAAGCGTGTATGTTTGCAACTTGCCATAAATAATTTAGATTTTAAGCAGCACCCACAGCGAACTAATAGATTCCTTGCTTGGTTCTTTGGAAAAAAAAAAGGATTTACAGCTAGGGTTTTCATCGTAAAAGCAAGCTGAAATCATAGCTCCGGGAGTGAACCAACGGTTGTCCTGTATCTAACAGGAAAATGAAGTCAACTGTTAGCGAACTCATTCGCCGGAAAAGATTATTGAAGCATGTTTTGCTAGGACTAATTGCAGTGCTCGGATTGATTTGTTTGTACAATGGTTCGACATTTGCTCCTGGAACGGAAGAAGTTATTAGTTTGGACGAAGGTACGGATCCGATCACCGGAAGTTTTCGACCTAAACGTGATTATTTCGATGAATTGTTTGAAGATCAAGAACTAAACCCCGAGGTTCCCAAAAGCTTACCTGTAAGTTGTTTATAAGGATTGTTATAGATTTCTAGAATCAGTACATTGATTTGATTAACATTGATTTCTTGTTCGTTTGGTTTGAAGGTTTGTGATACTCGACACTCGGAGTTGATACCTTGTTTGGATAGACATCTTATCTACCAATTGAAGTTGAAGCTTAATTTGACTCTAATGGAGCATTATGAACGACATTGTCCGCCTGCAGAACGACGATACAATTGTCTAATTCCGCCTCCATCTGGATACAAGGTTAGTAATGATTGTTCTCTGTTTCCTTCCAGTTCAGATCTCCAAAGCGTTCAATGTGATTAGCGTTATAATTCCAGATCCCAATCAGGTGGCCGGAAAGTAGAGATGAGGTTTGGAAGGCAAACATACCCCATACACATCTTGCGCAGGAGAAATCCGATCAAAATTGGATGATAGTGATGGGAGAAAAAATCAGGTTTCCTGGCGGAGGAACTCATTTTCATTCTGGTGCTGATAAGTACATAGCTTCCATTGCATCTGTAGGTCACCTTTATCAATGTCTTTTTTGTCAAATTAGGGCATCCTTTAACTTGCATAATCATGATTCATTGTATAGATGCTCAAGTTTCCTGGTGACAAGCTCAATAATGGAGGAAACATCCGAACTGTTCTTGATGTGGGATGTGGGGTAGCAAGTTTTGGAGCTTATCTTTTACCCCTAGGAATCATAGCCATGTCTTTAGCACCAAATGATGTACATCAAAATCAAATCCAATTTGCACTTGAACGTGGGATTCCATCAACATTAGGAGTCTTGGGTACCAAAAGACTTCCATACCCAAGTAGATCATTTGAAATGGCTCATTGTTCACGTTGTAGGATTGATTGGCTTCAAAGAGATGGAATTCTACTCCTGGAATTGGACAGATTACTTAGACCAGGAGGCTATTTTGTGTACTCTTCACCTGAAGCATACGCACATGATCCTGAAAATAGAAGGATTTGGAATTCTATGCATGATCTATTAAGAAGAATGTGTTGGAGAGTTGTTTCAAGAAGAGATCAAACTGTTATTTGGGCCAAATCTTTAAGTAATAGCTGTTACCTTAAAAGACCATTAGGAACCAATCCTCCTCTATGCAGCTCGGATAATGATCCAGATATGAGTTGGAATGTGCATATGAAGGCATGCATCACCCAATACTCTACAAGTAAGCTCACTTTATTATAACATTGTTTCTTTGAATACAAATTCACATTTTGGATGCATTTTTTTTTTGTAATATAGAGATGCATAAAGGAAAAGGGAGTGGGCTTGAACCATGGCCAAGTAGGCTTATGGGCCCACCACCTCGCCTTGATGAAATTGGTGTTAGTGTTGATCAGTTTCAAGAAGACAGTGTAAGTATCTAAAATAAATGAAAAAGAAGTAAACTTTTTTTTGTTGATAATTGGTTTATGAAGTAATTATGTTATATGATGCAGGATACATGGCATCATAGAGTGATGGAGTATTGGAAGCAGATGAGATCTGTGATACAGAAAAATTCCATTAGAAATGTGATGGATATGAACTCAAATCTTGGTGGATTTGCTGCTGCTCTTAAGGAGAAAGATGTTTGGGTGATGAATGTTGCTCCTGTAAATATGTCTTCAAGGTTGAAAATTGTTTATGACAGAGGATTAATTGGAACAGTTCATGATTGGTATGCACTTTTTACATTTAACTCCCTCAAAATCTTCTCTTTTTTTCATACCCATTAACCCTTTGATGATAAAGATGTTGAAATTTTAATAATGGGTGTTTCATGTGTGAATCTTTTTCAACATATCCACATCCAAATGGGTGGGTTGACTAATGGGTCAAAATGAGTATTTTCACTAAAGTTAAAACGGGTCGTCGATCCGAATTGACCCATTTCTTTTTTAAACATACCCATTAATCTTTTTCAGATAAAGATGACAAATTTGTTAAAATTAGAATAATGGGTGTTGCATATGTGAATCTTTTTCAATGTATCCACATACAAATGGGTGGGTTGACTAATGGGTCAAAGTGGGTCTATCCAGGTTGACCCATTAACCTTTTGAAGATAAAGATGACAAATTTGTTAAAATTAGAATAATGGGTGTTGCAGGTGTGAATCTTTTTCAACATATCCAAGAACTTATGACCTACTTCATGCATGGAGAGTTTTTTCAGAAATTCAAGATCGAGGTTGTAGTGTTGAAGATTTATTAATTGAAATGGATCGAATGTTAAGGCCAGAAGGGTTTGTGATCATAAGAGACAAATCATCTATAGTTGACCATATAAGAAAGTTCTTGACAGCTTTAAAATGGGATGGATATTCATTAGAGGTTGAACCAAAAATAGATCCTCTTTCTTTAAACGATGAGCGCGTTGTAATTGCCAGAAAACAACTATGGGGAGATGATGATGATGAAATTTTATAAAAATGGATTTCTTTTAAGAATGTTTAAATTGAATTTAGGGAGATGATGTGATTGGATATATGTTGAAAATTTTGGTTGTAAATCATTGGGATTTGAGTAAAGAAGGAATTAGATAAAAAAAAATTTAAGTAACTAGTTTTTTAGTTTAATTTTTCTTAATGTATCTCAACATTTTTCTTATCTATGGAAATCTTGTTTAGTGTATCTTTAACATTTAATTTTATTAAGTTCACTTGTATATCATGTATAGTACGATAGGAAAATGGTAAAATTGTATGACACGGTTTGATGCACACCATTAGATTCTATCTCTATAATGTGCTTTTTTGCTACGATTCAACCAATTACATTAGACTAACCCTTAAAAAAAATTACATTTTTTCTATATGCGTATTGATGGAACATCGAGACCCAAACGGGAAACTGAAGAGGAGATGAAGTGCAAAGATAAGCCTTCGCTGTTTCGCAGGCAGTGGCGAGGTTGTATATTAGCATGACTTGACCCATTTTTTTTTTTTTTTGTTTTTTTTTTGTTTTGTTAAGAAATAAAAAGTTATATAGAACAAAAATATGTGACCTCCCTTATAAAAATTAAATGAACCACCTTGGCAAAAAATATGCTTATACAACAGATTTCTAAAACCCATATCCCATATCTTACTAGCCCAATAAATGTTTAGGGTATAATCTATAGCTCAACACAAATTAAATTAAAACAAAACATGAATTAAGAATAGGCGTTTTACAATTCAAACACACAAAGTTGGGAATCCATATTCCATTGGCATGAAATAGTACTATATAAGGAAATTCTATTTCCAAATTCCATTGTCATGAAAGACCTTAATGATGGATTGGTGATTCAAAATTCACACTTTCGTTCACTATTAATTACACTAGGTGTGAAACCCGTGTATTACACGGGTTGATTTAAAAAGTTAAATATAAGGTGTAGATATTAAGTATTTTCTAAAGTACAATTTTGAAATAAATATAAATGAAATGATGAATGCGTAATTCAATCTATACTAATAAAAAAATATTATCATGTTTAAAAAATTATGTTGAATATGAATGTATAAAAATTAAGTACTTTTTAAAATAAATTTTCGAAATAAATAGAATAAACCACAATGATCATTTATGTAAATTGTGTTATTTATTCTATACTAATATTAGTTAATATAAATTCACAAATTGAATTCATTAAATAGAAATAAAAATTCACAAATAGAAGGTTTACTATATACATTAATTCACATTAATTGTTATGAGGTGACATTTAATAGGTGGAAGTTGAATAAAAATGAAAAATATATATATAAATGATAAGTGGAAAAAAAAATAAAACTAAAAATTCTAAGAAAATTACATGTGTCAAATTCAATAAGAAGTTGACATTTGGCAAAATTATCTTTATTTATTAGGGTAGATTTGCCTTTTCTTTTTTTCTTTTTTTTTTAAATATTGTTTCATAATTTATTTTTTCTAAAAAATCTAACTTCTAAGATTGTTAATTGTCAATGGACAAAATTTTATCGATATAATATTGATCAATATAAATTAAATTAACTAATTGTGAGTTCAATACATATTGATTGAAGGCAAACGGGCAACAAGTTGCGCCGCTAGCCCTTTCTGGATGGCAAAACCAATTCTTTTGAAAACAACATTTGTGGATCTAGGAGATATGACATTAGAATGCATGACCCGTAGGACTCTATTAAGGAGCTCCACCGCCTCTGGTGCGAGAAAACCAAATGTATCGAATGCAAAAGGAACAAACACATGTTGATTTTCTCTACATACATTCTCGTGCTTTACCACTTTGCACGCAACAAATTTCAAAGCGGCATGCCTAGCTGCGAAACCTCCGCTCCCCAAACCAACGAGAGGAGAGACACCAGTAAGATCCACGCACGCATGCTTCCCTCCTATCCATCCAAAGACCAAAATGTCAGCTGGTCTAAGTGTGGACCTGCCATCTTGCGGGTCCGTCAAAAAGTTCATTGGCGCTTCTTTCTTCACAGATATACCAGCACGCCAACAAGCATCAAAGAGAACATCTCGAACCACATCATATCTATACTTGAAACCAGGGAGCTCTCTACAATGAACCGCGTGTTCCCCAAAGGTATCGATATTGAATGTTAACAGTGATTTTTTTCACTTTTTAATTGTTTCATGCTTTTACAATAATTTTTTTTTATTATTATTATTTTTTTTATTTCTTTTTTATTTTATGTTTCAAACTTCTAATGTGAATCGCTTATTTGAATGTTATTCAACAATAAAGTTGGTAAAGACCGATATAAAAAAAAGATGATCTTTTTAAATAATAGTTTGGTGTCATATATTGAAAAAAAATATTTTAGAAAGTATTAGTATCAAGGTATAAAAATATCGCCGTGTATAATTGTAAAAACTTTAAATATTTTTTTTACTTATACAACTCGACTTGATCTGAACTTGCAATAGTTTTCTTTTTTTTATATTTTTCTTTTTTATTGACTTCATTTAAGTAGAGACTTATGTAGTTTCACGTTCTAAACTCGCCAATCACAGGAATGTTCATATCTTTATTTGGCCAACTCTCGAGCACACATATATTCTACGTAATAATTCTCAGATTGCTTAAATTCCAGGCTATTTACTTTTTTCCTTAAAAACAAAGTTAACCGGGTAAAATTGCATAAACCTACTAATGACGGTGATCAAAATGTGGATTTTGAACAAATGCGTAACTTCAATGGTCATGTGTGTAAATGGTATAGTTTGATGAGTTTTTTTATAAGATTCAAACTTGAAAGGTGTTTTTTATACATTTCTGAAACTTTATTACATCTTTAAGTCATTTTCCGGGAAAAAAAAAAAAAAAAACCTCATTAAAAATCAAAAAATCTAAAATTTATTTATTCAAATAAATAGTTCCTTCCATACGATAACACGAACAAATATCTTTCTCCTTGACTCCGTGTTCTCCTCCAAAATATAAATGTTTTCATCTTCTTTCTGTTGAGATTTTTCGTCACATGTATTATAACGACTCTAGTGTCCTCAAATTCCATTTTAAGCACTATCTAAGAAGCAATCATTATGTTTTGGAGTACTTTATTTACATTGTAACTTTGAATTGGTATTTTTTGCAATTTTTGTTGTTCAAACACATTTAATTTGAAACGATAACCGATGTTGATTTCAAACATACATTTTATTGTTTAATATAGCTTTGACTTGTTCGAAGTGTAATTAGACTCACATAGATTGTAGATGGTTATTATTATTATTATTATTATTATTATTATTATTATTATTATTATTATTTGCATTGGTACTGTTTATTCTTGAGTAGGTTATAACCCGTGAAAACCACGGTTGGTATTTTAAAAAAAATATATAGTTAAAAAAATGTCAAAATTATGATTTCAGGAATGAACTATTTTAATAGATGACAATATCTTTATTAAAAAAAAACAAATTACTAAAACATCCATATTAATGGCATTTCACTATTTTAGTCGTTTCGCATAATTTATATTTGAAATTACATATATAATCTTAATATCTTATTACCTTTATATTGTATATCCTCTTAAAAATGTTGCAGCTTTTTCATCTTCTTCGTTTTCTTTTTCTAAAAAATGCATATTAAAGTATAATTTTCAATAAATTGTCTAAAAATGTCTAGACCAATATCCTCAAAAGTACATATTATCCCATTCTTTGATCATGAAATCACATCTCATGCATCAAACTTTGCTTTTTGAAACCAGGACCAATATTCTCAAAAGTACATATTATCCCATTCTTTGATCATGAAGTCACATCCCATGCATCAAACTTTGCTTTTTGAAACCATGTTGACTGTGTTTGAATTCTTCATAAACGTAAAATTATTTTGTATTTAAAACTATTTAATCAAAATAACTCCAAAGAAATCACATCATACTTCCAATCATTTATCAATGCGTCTTACTTTCCTTTACTTCAATAACATCAATGTACTTTGAAAAATTAAGGCTAAATGTTATTCATACAAAGAAGTTTGAAACTGGAACATTGTATCTTTCATGTATTCAACCCTTCATAAATGGTTCAAGGAAAATATTATGATGCATTGTCTAATAGCACGAGAACTTCATAAGAGAATAAAAAGAAAGTAAACTAAAAATTATAGAGTGATCCTTACCTTTTCACATTCAAGTTCTTTTCTAAATTGGTATTTTCATTTTCAAATTCTTATACTTTTTCGTAAATGCAAAATCACAAATTGTATAATTATAAACCACTTAATACATAGAAAAACTAAATATAAATGAGAATCCAAAATAAAATATATCTTAACAGCAGTTCTAGAATATTTTCATACTCTTTTACCAACAAAAGAAACATGTTGCTTGTGAGAAAGTTGGATTCCAACTGGCGGATCCTATCTTCTGAACTAACCAATTTCTCTATAGTGTCTTCATGTTGTATTATGAAAATTTACAGTGTAGAAAAACTAAGTAATTGCTTAATGGAGGTGAAATTTTACAAATATAGGTCTCAAAATCTCCACCAATGAGCACCTTTCTTTCGACAATTACTTAAAACATGAGTAGAAATCCCATGATTACCGTCCTATTGAATCTGTAAAGCTCAAATCAAGAACCTGTTGTTAAGCCACAATAGTCATGTAAAGCTCAAATCAAAACAATGACAACAACTGGATGATGTGTACAATCATACATTCGCCTTCCCCCGATCATCTAAAGTACCTGAAACATTTAAACCACAATTGTAAGTCAAAGCTTAGTGTGTTCCCTAAACTACCTCACACAACAATATAAATACAAAGCATGCACAAACACTAGCCTTCAGTCTGACTAGACCGCCTTGCAAGGCCTACAATACATTTGGACCGGTCTCCTTGGGCCTTCAGTCTGACTAGACCGCCTTACAAGGCTTACATTATATCTGGACCACCCAAGTATCTTGGCCTGCTGCACACAACAGGACCACCTCAACCCAACCACAACATGTCGACATATACACATAACAATAATAAGCAAGCAAAGCTAATCATAAAAACTACCTGCCTAACAGAACACTACAACATAAATCATCCTATCCATAAGGATATATAAATCATTATATCATAACACATCCTACACATAAGGATACATATTATAATACAAAGTATAGTGAGAAAACTCACCTTGCAAACTAGTAGATAACCAACACAGCTCACACAAATACAGAACTGGTACTACGAGTCACCTATACAACAAACAGAGACCAATTCCCATTCTATAGCCCAAAACCCCTCAAGTTGACTAAAAGTTAATTTAGTCAAAAAGTCAACTCAGCCGGCCACCACATCGTGGCCAAGCACCTACCACGAAGTGGCAGTCTCTCGATAAAACAGTCGTGAGAAACCCCATTACCATGATGTAGTAAGCATGTTGCCACGTTGTGGGAACTATTCTAGATCAGTTTAATGGATTAAGCCCTTAATCCATTAAGTCACACACTTATCTCTTCCAAAAGGCTTCCTAACATCCATAAGCTTCATAAAAATTGTTTCTTTATGGACATGCATGTCCAATACATGTCTTGAATTCTAATTAGTTCAAAATGGTGAAAATAAGGTCAAAACCTCATGCACGGAACCAAAACTCTACCAAAATTCAAATCTGGAACACTAGGCCTCAAAGGGACTTCAAGGATCCATAAAGTTGCCAACTTTATGGAATCCATCCACTCAAAAGATAAGAACCTAAGGACTTACAATGGTCCAAAATGTATGCAATAAGGTGGTATGGGAACTTACTTGTTGGATCTTTGCTCAAAGGACACCTTCTTCTCCTTCAATATCACCAAAAACCACAAAAAAAAGCTTCAATAACTCAAAGATAGAGGCTAGGGTTTGTTTAGGTCGAAAGAGAGGTGATGGAGGCCAAGGGTGAGCAAACTGTAACCATCAAATCCCTTAAATAGGACCCAAGCCCGAAAAATTAGGGTTTTGCATACTGGCTGCCACCACGTCGTGGCCAACAGCATGTCACGTAATGGTGTCCAAAATGAAAGGAGTGTTTCATTAGGTGTCGTCACGTCGTGGTGCTATCACTACCACGTTGTAGCCACCGAAAACTCTATATTTTGAGTTTTGAATGCCATAACCACAAAAGAAGTATATATTTGGAACTTGGTGTCACAATAATTTTTCATTTGATCATTCATAAGAGACAACTCATTTATAGGTGACCATATAAGAAAGTTCTTGACCGCATTAAAATGGGATGGATATTCATTAGAGGTTGTACATCTTTGGGATTTGAGTAAAGAATGATTTAGATAAAAATTTAAGCAACTAGGTTTTGAGTTTAATGTATCTCTAACATATTTCATATCTATGGAAATAATGTGTAGTGTATCATTGACATCTAATTTTATTAAGTTAGACTTGTATATCATGTATAGTACAATGACAAAATGGTAAACTTGTATAACATGTTAAAATAGAATGAAGATATTGTTGGATTTGTTTTGTCATCATAATTCATAAAACACAAAATGGTTGGTCTTGAATTTTCTTTTCAAGTGGAAGCATGTGATGTGCACTAAAGTAGAGTTTCAACGGATTTTGTTTGTAGTCATTAAGCACTTTATTTGGAATTGGAAACACACCCAACAAACTTATTCCATTCGATTTGGTTTTATAGTTTAGTATGGCAACGTTGTGTTCTAATCCACCAAAAAGAGCATGTGAAATGCATAATCAGAAAAAGAAGATCCGCATACGTACTAAATGACCAAAACTGGACCACTAACCCAACAACCAAACCTAATACAAACTTAGGCATTTTTTTTACTTTGATAAATAAAAAATAAAAACATAAAGAAAGTGTGTTTCAAGTTTCAAATCCAATGCAACCAGCCAAACACAGTAATTATATTTTGTGTACCAAATGGGGCCTAGTAATGTCTAGATTGATTGATGAGTTTCTCACTTTACATACACGCTATTTCACTCTAACTTGCCAACTAAAAAAATCCAAATAACCCCCGATAAATACTTATATTACAAAACACACCAGAAAGAAGAGAAAAAAAAAAGTTGAATTTTAACCTTAAAGTAGGTTCATGATGAGAAGTTTTATGTGTTGATAATCACACTCTCATTGGCGATGGCCTTCAGGAAGAGTAACAACCTTATGAAAGGGCACATGCCTCTGAGGCAAAGATCCATCTTCCTCATCATCATCAAACTCCAAAACATAACTACCAATTAAAAAAAAACCCACCAATATTTTAATCATTTTTTTATACCAAGTAAGGATAATAATAATAATAAAATCTAAAACTTACTCGTCTGTTTTCCTCTGTTGTAGGTTTTCACATTGCAGTTGCACCCACAAACAACAAGGCATAAATGTTGTTATCGGCATAAAAAATATATATATATAAAAAAATAAATAATAATAATAATAATAATACCTTGCGGGTATTGACGACAGTTGCTTTGTAAAGCGCGGTGGTTCCAGGGTAAACAGCCAATACGTGTTTGCCAGGTGGAAAGTCTTGAGCGGTGGATGGATCGTTTCTCTTAGGGAATGGTATAATATGTGACATAGGAAGTTTGTACTTCCTGATAATTGTAAATTTTTAATTCCAAAATTCAAGTATAGGAATAGGAGTATTATTATTTTTAAAAGTAAAACAAATTCAAGCCATGTTCTTCATCAAATATATATACCTCTGACCAGCTGGTTCTTCATCATCACCTGGTTCTTCATCAAGAACTTCAAATCTGCATAAATAAAGCAACTAATCAAATAAATAAAAAAGCAAAATATAAAATGAAATGACAAATATGTCCTCAAGTCTTTCAACGTAAATAAGATAACCTACAATGAATTATAAACATTGCATACAGTTAAAAGTGTGCTTACTCTCTTGTTTCCCTATCAAAGTGAATTACTTTAACGATAAACCACTCATCCTTGTCAGCATCCTCTTGTGTGACCCTAGCAGCCACCTGGCAAAAGTTCCATTTGACTTTCAGAAAAAAAAAATTCTTTTAAAAAGAAATAAATTAGTATTTTTTGGGCATAATACTTGTTCCCCCTTCAAGCTTGCAAGGTGTTCAAGGTGATTACGAAGAGAAGGAGAAAGCCTTGGGACATCTGGATCAGCTTTCAGTCTTTTCTTCTTTTGTTCATTGCCTTCTGCAATATAATAATTTTCAAAAATTAAAAATAAAGCAACGTTTATTTCTTTATTCTTGCATTATCAGATATAATAAATAATATAACCAAATCAGCTAAATGCAATAAATACCAATGTCTTTTCATTTATTTGTTTATTCTAGCATCCTACTTTCAATTTTTTTTTTTTCTTATCAGAAGATTAACTTTGAGAAATCTACTGAATGACATTATACTTTGAAAATCTATACAATTAAAGCAATGAAAAATGCTTGGTATCTGGATGACATTCACCTAATTGGGTTAGATTTTTCAAAGTAAAAAAATGGAAGAAATGAAAGTAAAAAGATGCTATAATAAACAAATCAATCAAAGTACATTAATATTTTATTGCAATTAACTTCAGCTTAAAAAGGCAATAAGGATTATAAACCCACCCATCCTTCTTCTTTGTTGCCCAGGGGGGCCAGAAGGTATCAGAGCATCCAACTGAACTAACAACTGAGTCGAAACACTGCACATAATAATACATAGAAAATTAAAAAAAAAAAAAAAAAAAAAAAAAAAAGAGAGAGATTGATTGTAATTTAGAGAAATGAAACAGACGTACGCCACTTCACTTTCTGAAAGTTCTTTTGCTTGAATGTAAAGCATCTTAAGCCTTGAAAGTGAATTATCACCAGGCTTCTCAACCACCTCAGGAGCTGCATAATTATATTATTTCATCAACAACAGAAATTAGTGCTAAATTAATTGTTTAACCCATATGATATGCAAGTTTGCTTTAGATGTCTTATTTATAAGACATCTAAAGAATTGAATTTCAAAACCTAATTTAAGCGTTCCCCTAGATTAGGAAACTTAATAATTTCTTAACACCTCAAAATCGAATAGTAAATATTTTGGGTAAATTCATACAACATCGTTAAAGTAAACTATCTGATCATTGATTAGATATCAAAAAAAAAAACCCTAGAGAACCCAATTAGAAATGAAGAATGATTTTATTTCCCCCAAAATCTTGAATTCCCTCACAGAATACACCAACAAGAATAAGAATATAAAACATGAGAGTGAGAGTGAGACTCACTTGATTGTAGCTTTTTGTGAAGCTTGTTGATCTCAATTAGTATTTCCTCTTGGTCTTTCCTTAAACGATCAAGCTCCTTTGATTGATCTAACATTCCTGCAACATCTGGTGAGGACATTTTTGGTATTTCTCCTCCAACTTCAACAAATCACTGATCCCTTTCCTTTCAAGATCCTAAATTGTGTTTGAAAAAATTGATGGTTATGAAAAGCTAACTTATTTGATCGAATCATAGTAAAAGGGGGAATTTTAGATTCTGAGGGATTACAGTGAAAACGGAAAGAGAGTTGTTATAATAATAGTTGGAAAATAAAATTTGGGCCCAATTAAACATTTTTGGCCCATTTCAGTTAGCACGATTGAAGTCATCATAAAAGAGTCAACTATTAAAAAACATTGAGAGAAATAACATAAATCATGGAATTTATACAACTCTTTAACCTCGTGGCATAAGTGTCTTGTGATATTTAAAATCTACTCACACCTAAAGGTAAATACTTATGATGTTATTTGCTTTTGCATGCTACCTTGATTGGATAATTAGATCATCAATAAATGTTTATAACATCTTTTATAGTGGCAATAAGATAACAATCTAAACCAAAATAATATATCAATATTTTGTAATGATGACCAAATTTTAGTTTGTGGGAAAAAGGAAGGTTCAAGTTATATAAAGATTGTTGTAACATTTTTCAAAATAAAATAAATATAAAAAATGGTTACATAAGCTACAACAAGCAAATAGGCAAATACGATTGCTGTCCTGAATTTGCTTATCATAGTTTTGAATTTGAACAAGTTGGTTTTTTAATCTCAAAAAGTTTGTTTTGTTTTGATTCAAACTAGAATTCTTTAACTAACAATAATCATTGTAAATGTATTAAAAATAAATATATTTTCTCTTGAGAACACATTTCAAACTAGCCTCAAGCTAAAGTCTAAATGCAGACCTATGTACAGCTTTATATTAGTACAAGTCACTACAGCAACATTACTTGGGATTTCAAAATGTGTATCTTTCTGTATACTCATATAAAAATCTAAGATAAGGCCTTTCGAAGTTCATGGACAGAAATAAAAAAGAAAATAGCTCTTTTATTTGAAAATTTATAATGCCAATAAAGAGTTGATCACTCCATTAACAGAAATGAAAAAGAAGGCAACTTTAATTGATAGATATGTGTGTATGTTTATACAGAAACTAAACATTAAAGTTCATGTAGTAAAATAATTTTGGGACAACAGATTGATGGTTTATTGTGAAATTAATCCTCATTAGAAGTAATTTTGTGAGGGTCGTAATAATCATCAAGCCATCAAGTCATGGTCATAACTAAAACGGGAAAGTATCAAAATTTCCTATAGTGCTTTAAAGTCATTAGAAGTAGCAACATCAATAAGAGCAAATAAGAACCCTAACTTCATTTATATCCATAAGCTGAAACCCTAATTTATGTCCAATCATATAATAAAAGCATTACTTTTCACATTCTCTTCAACAAAAAACAACCCTAAATCAAGCAACAAACTCAGGATAGTAATACATAGTAATTTCATTGATAATGACATTATCGTAAACAAATCACATGATCAACATGCCTATTGCATATAATTGATCCTCCTGATATAAAACATTAATCCGTCGGAAACAAGTATACGATCAGTAAGTTTAAGGATGTGGATGTGCAAATACACATAAATATATATATAGGAAGAGTACAGCACGCTCACGTGTCGTAGATAGAATCATCTGCTTTCGTGAACAATTCTTCAACCTTTCGAAGAAATGCAAGTGGATATTAGTGGAAAGAATTCTTTCTTCGAAAAAGATGACGACGACTTACAGAAATTGAGACGTTTCGCGGGGGAGGGAGACGAGAGTCAGAGAAGACACAAAAACCCAAATCCCTTTTCCAAACGAATTTACTTCATAATTCCCCTTTTCCTCATAACTTGGAATGGGTTTTTGGTAAAGAATGTGAGATTATCGGTGTTTAATTGTATTTATTCATTAAAATTAAAATAAGAGGGGACTTGTAACAAAATATCATTTTAATATCCGTCACAATTTTAAAAACTGTGTTATAAAATTAATCTTGCCAATTATTTTATCTTAAATTGTTTAATAACGTCTTCATGAAAAATTTCAGAATTTTTTTATTAACTCTCTTAAGAGTTAAGAAATTTATTTACAAGATAAATTTAGTTTAAAAAAAGTTATATATAATTTTTTTTGGAAAAATATATTTGTAAACTTGTAACTATAGATAGTTTTTTTAAAGATTTATTGATAGATAACTTTTTATGAAAAAAAATGCTATTACAAGTCAAGAAAATAAACTATTATATGTTAAATTTAAATAATTCATCGATATATAAAAATGTTTTTTTAATCATTTTATCCCTTACGTTATTCAATAATTAATAAGTTTAAATTACAACAGAAACCAACACAAAACTAGTTATTCTCTATTCCCACATAATGGTATCGGTTCACAAACTACAACGGAAACCACATGAACTGAAATTGGAATTCAAGATTCCATTCTATAGCCAAATATATGGAGTTCAATCTCTTCGACTTCTTTCAAATATCCTACAAGGAATTGTCCATTCCCGAAACTGAATTCCATTCATTCTCTTGTTAAATATCAAAGGAATAAAGTTGAATTCCATTCCATTTTTCTGACAACCAAACACATGACATAGATTACAAGAAACTTAACTACCAAGAATAATCATACAAAATCTACATATAATTTTTGGGAATTTCTTTCTCTAACTCCTCAAAATCCCAGGCATCATCTACCGAATATTCCCCTGAAAAAAATAACGTTGATAATAATGAAGATTATATATCAAGTTAACTTATCAAAAAAAAAAAAAAAAAAAAAAAACATGGCAATTTCAATTTATTTACTTATAAAATGTTAATTAGGGTTATATTTTAAGTCAAATAAGTAGAATTTAAGATGTCTTACCAATGGAATCTCTTCGTAGAGCAGTCATATGAGCACAACTGCAACAACAAAAAAAAATCAATACACAATTGTAACCATTTATTTTAATGTAGCAATGCACATTTTAAGGTTATGAATTATGATTATTAATTTTTTTTATTCTACCTGTTGAGAGCCTTTGCAAAATCTGCACATAGGGATCGAATATATGTCCCTTTTGAACATGTCACCCTAAAAATCACATTTTGTCTGCAAAACAAAAAAAAAAATCTTGTAGTTATGTTGAATTATATATTTCTTAGTCAACCCAACACCCAATAATTTGACCCATTATCTGACCCGTTTAACTAACCTGTCTTCTAGACTTCGTTCAACATCAAACTGAAAAATTGATATTCTTCTTGGTGAAAGTTCAATGCTTTCTCCTCTTCTTGCTTTCTCATATAACCTCTCACCTCCAACCTATTAACACATGAAATCAATTATAATTTATATATATACTATTATATTTACCATTTTGCCACATCAGCATAACTTACTTTAATGGCTGAAAACATTGGAGGGACTTGCCATATTTCCCCACAAAATGATGCTGCACTTTTCTTTATATCATCATCCTTTATGTGCTCCCATGGCTCACGTTGTATCACCTAAAGAATACAAAAATAATGGTAAAATAAAGGACAAACATGCCCTTAAACTTTGGTTGCATGCATTGCTCCCAAAAAAGAACAAATTTTGCAATGGGCATTTCAGTCTTTTAAATCTAGAATTTGTGAGCATCAACAATTTCAATCTTTAAAGAATACACACACCGGTGAGTCAGCATCAAGGGTTGAGGTAGCTTCCCCTAAACGAAGAACTCCACTATACCCTTTAACCATACCCTGAAATCTGCCATAAAAACTTAATTACTTAGTGGAAAGTTTGATTTGAAACACAAACACTAAAGGGGTGTTTTGACCCTAAACAATCAGAAATTCATAATCATAATCACTTTTACCTAAAAACTCAAGTTGCAATACTCAATTTAATCATTAAGAACAACAAAAACTCCTACCTATCAACCAACTTTGTTGCTTTGCCAATACATACAATAAGCAAACCAGTTGCCATAGGATCAAGAGTCCCTGCATGCCCAACCTATAACAAGCAACTTTTATAAAGTAAAATAAAATCAAATATAATATAATATAATAGTTGCATAATGCATTACAAATGCAAAACAATAAAAAGATACCTTTTTTACATTGACAAGTCGCCTCAACTTCCCACAAACTGTAAATGAAGTCCATCCTGTAAAGTGAGATTATCTTTCAGAAAACTGTAATGAAAAGTAGTAAATCTAATGAGCATTTTAAAGTCAACAACTGAACAAATTGATGCTAACCTTTAGGTTTGTTGACCAAAAGAACAGCTCCAGTTGGACCATCCCATTTAGGAGGAAGCCCTGAACTTCGACCTGAGATGAAGGGTAGTGTGTTATCAACTTCATTGGGGACTTTCTTCAAACACTTGAAGAACTCCTCAACTTTCTTCTCTGTGATATCCATTTTCACATCTTTGTTCACTTTCTCCTCCTCAAAGAATACCAATCCCTTCTCATCTTTCTTCTCCCCAACACCCTTAACTGCAACCCTCTTCTTCTTCTTCTCCTCATTCGATTGACCTGGTTCAAGAAACGCCTTGTCAAAACATTGATCAGGGAAAAATTTCTTCTCCAACTGATACACCATCTTATAATGCTTATCTTTTTCCCATGGATATGCGAAAGCATCGTAGAAATACAATTCCTCTTCTCTTTTATGCAATGTGCATAACTTAACAACTTCTTGATTTAACTCAATGTACTTATTCTCATGCTTACCAGCATCATCTTCTGAATCCGAACCATACATTCTCTTTTGTCTCTTGTTGTAATACTTCCTTTTAGATTTGTCCATCTCATCATTCAACAAGACGGGTTGCTTCTGATCTTGATTTGGTGTGGGTAACGAGGGTGCTGATTCTGAAGTTAATTTCATATCAACCCAGTCATCAAAACCCAAGTCGGTATCTGGAGGTTTGGAATTCGGGAGCGGTGGTGCTCGGCGGCGGCGAGGGTGGTGGAGGGGTGTGGTTTGAGGTGGGCGGGTGATTATCATTTCGTATTGGAGTGGGAATGGAGTTTTGGTGGTGGAATATGAATGTAAGGATTGTGATATGAAAGGCTTGCAGAATAGTGTTGTACGAAAAGTGAAGTTGGGTCGAGGGAGGAAGAAGATAAGAGATGATGCGCGGCTTATGCAACACTTCGCCATTTTTTGTGCAACTGATTTGCAATGGGTATGCAGAGGTTGAAAAGAGGGTTTTAGGTTTAGGGGGTGTTTAGTCCTATTTGCTTAGGAAGCGAGCGGAAATTTCTAAAACAAAATACTATTTTGGATACAAAAATTACATAAATTATTTTGAGGACAAAATCACATAAATGGTTTATGTGTTTCTCTAACTTTTTTTTTTTTAAGGGAAAATGACTCCTAATGGTAACTAACTGTTATGTTTGTTTTCATTTTCATTTGGTCCCTTTTTTTGTACTCAATATATTATCGAACTTGTTGTTTGTGCTCATTATAACCTTTTTGATCGGCTTTTGACATATGATTGTCATTTAAAGGGTTATGGTGAACACACACAACAAGTTCGTTGATATATTGAGTACAAAAAAAGAAAATAGACCACATGAGAATAAACTCAACAGTTGGTTACCCTCCTGAGTTATTTTCTCAGAAAAGTTAAATGAAATTAAAGTTGCAAAATTATCAAAGACTGCAACCTTCTTTAGTCATAATGTATGTGAAGAGCATTTCGGAGGGGTAACTTCGTTAAAACATGGTCTATGTTATGCTTACTGTGGTTAGTAGCTGTCAACACCTCTCTGTAAAAGGATATGACTGTGTATGGTATATTTATCAACATACATGTTTAACTCAAGGTATATTATGGTGATGTGTCTGCAAAACCTGCATGATATTGTACATTTTGTTGGTGTATCTTATCCCATGAATTCGATCTTAAAGCTAAGTAAACTAAAAACTCACAGCACTTGTGATTCCACTTGTTTGTAGACTTGTCTAGAATCCATAATATGATAAATCATTTGATTGGAAATGCAAATATAGTCATGAAATGCATCTGCTTAGTCAAGATTCCCCTAATAAATATTCAAGTGCATTACAAAGTTGTACATATATGAATAATGTTCTTTCGCGGGTTATGTTTTGAAAATGAGTAAAGGGAAAATGAATCAGGATAGTAACCAACTGTTGCATTTGTTTTTATTTGGTCCATTTCCTTTTTTTGTACTCGATATACCATCTAACTTGTTGCTTGTGTTTACCATAACCCTTTTGACCTGCTAGGTCAAAAGGGTTATGGTAAACACAAACAACAAGTTTGATGGTATATTGAGTACAAAAAAGGGACCAAATGAAAACAAACGCAACAGGTAGTTACCCTTAAGAGTCATTTTCCCTTTTTTTATGCGAATAATCCCTAATTTCAAACACCTATTTATTGAGACTTGAGTAATCACTCCCTAAACTAGCATTGATCTTCGTCCCTCTTAGGAAACCTCCATTTGTATTTTCCACTCATCAATGTTTAACAAAAACCCCAATTTCGATATTGTTGTTCTTTAAACTAAGGTTTAAGTGCAATTGTACTTACTATATGAAATGTCCATTCATATTTTCCACTCATCAATGTTTAACGAAAACCCCAATTTTGATATTGTTGTTCTTCAAACTAAGGTTTAAGTGCAATTGTACTTACTATATGAAATGTATTGAAAGACTTATGCAATCACCAAACTTAGCTAAAGGATATGGTATGTTCTTGAATTATTTTTTTTCATGTGTATGTATTTCAGAAAGGATTAGTTTCATCTCTCATAACAAATTTATTTTTTATTTTTATTTGTTTACAAGGTTTTGCTAACTATTTCATTCAAAATATACACCATGGAGGAATCTTTACGAAGTATCCAAAAAGAAAGTAATTGATGAAAGTGTCCTACATATACTATGTAGATATGGACCTTTTCATTGTTCATGAACTTGATGATATGATTTGAGAAATAGGGTTTAGGGTATCGCGATGGTTAGAGTAGTTACTATCATTTTATAATTTTTGGTGTAGACTTAGATTATGGATTGTTGCATCTAGGAAATGATTAAGACGTGTTCAAAGTCACTAAGTATGTACACAAACATAGAGAACTATGTGTGTAAAGTGAACATGGACAAACATGAGTGCACATGTATTTCATGTCCCCATGTAAGGTTGTGATTGAGGAATTAGAGGATGTTGTCTCCCCTAAACTTATTAGGATTAAGCCTAAAAGGAATGTTGGATCTTGTAGTATGAAACTGAACTTAAATCTTTTGATTAAGAGGAGTCTTATCAGCCACAGTCCGTCCATGATTAACTGTGATTTTTTTCAAATCACTTGTAAATTTCGGACAGTACCAGTCAATGTAGTTTTAAAGACAAGGTAACCAATGCTCAACAAGTAAAAGATGTGCATTATGTGCCCATAGCACAACATGTTCCAACTATAAAAGATTCTCCAGTTCATGTAAATTTTGAAGAAGGTTTAACTCAATTCAGTATGCATCATTTTGAATTTTTTTTTCTTGATCTTGGTCAAAGTGATTACCAACATATGAAAGATCTTTTTGTGCCCAAATGTCATTATAGAATCATATTGCTAATGACATATGATCATATAGGTTCACACCTTATATCAAGTTACTACTAATTGATTATTTATTAAAGTAATTTGATTATTAATAAATAACAACACTTGTATTTAATTGACAAATTATTATTTTATAAAAATAATATTTTAGCTAACTGAGAATTTATTATTTATGGAAATAATATTTTTAAGAGAGAAAAAACAACTAGTAACTCATATAGTATGATTTATATGTTGTGCATAACTTTTTGGACTTATAGAAGTTTATATATATAACTAGCTTATATAATAAAAGAGTGCACATGCTAGTAATAAGTTGGAGTAACATACACACTACCATCACTTCTTAGAGGAAATGGTCGAAGATCTCTTCCTAGTGGAAGAGATTGCGTGTTGTTCTTTGTGTTTGCATCCTACGCTTGTAAGAAGAGACCATGTTTTCATTTATTACTAGCTTTGAATATTTTCATATCACTTAGTATATAAAGAATAATTGAATGCAAAAACTAGTTAGTTTTTCCATAAGAATTCTTCCTTCTTTCATCCCCAAAAAACAAGAGCACTTGCTGCTTGTCCTTTCTCCTTTTTTTTTTTCCTTTTGTAGTATGGAGTTTATGGTCTTAGTTTCTTATCCTTTGAAGATATATTTGGTATATACTTCTAAGGATTAAGAACAACTAATATACAAGTGAAGATTAGCATCTTTGGTGGTTGATTCTTACTTGGTGGATACATTATAGAGAGCTTCTTTTTTGGAATTTAATGTCATCTTCATCAACTTTCTAATTGTCAAAGTAACTAAGTTTTCAAAAGGTTGTAAACTCTTTTCTTTTTATGGTTGTTTTAATATTCCTAAGCTTTACAAAATGATCATCAGTGGGTAAAATGGTTTTAGTTTATTCAAATATAAAATTGTTTATGTTGCTAATCGTATCATTTTTTACACTATAATTAGACTATTTTTGAACAAAACCCAACAATTGATATCATAACCATTTTTGCAAGCCTGGTTAGATTATTTGATAATATCACTACTAGAAAACAGACCTTTAATGACGCGCTTTTTACAACACGCACTGATTAATGATACGCAAAAGGACGTGCCCTATAAATAATGTCAGATCTTTAGAAATTTGAAGAACGTAGGACGCGCATTTTTTGCGTGCCCTAAATTATTGTCCCACAAAAAAAAATACAAACAAAGGAGGGCGCTTATTTAAAGTGTGCGTCCACTGTGAGTGTCGCTTTATAATTTTTCACTCAAAACGCGCGTTCAAGGGGGGGAAATCAAATCCTCTTAAAATTCTAAAATTTTTAAATACCCCGCTTCAATTCAAGATCTCCCTTCATTCTCTTCTTCCCTTCTCTCTACAAACCCTAATCATAGATACCATATCTTCTTACTTTGGTTGCTATAGTTTAATTGGACCAAAATTAATCATATATTAATTTTTTTAGCCCAAGGCAGTGGAGCTGAACACGAACACATGGGAAATTACAGCATCTCAAGCCTAAATCGAAGCAATCAAACATATTTTAGTCCTCCATGTTACATTGAGAATCATTTCCCCTCCCATTGCCGACCCCTTTGGAGCGATTTCTAGGGCTTGAATCAACATTTACCCATGTCGACACTCCATCTAATTCCCTCATCGCCTTTTTTTTCTTTTTGTGGAGGGGGTGATTCTAATTAGGTATATGCTATTCCATGTTTAGATTTATGTAATTGCAATCCTCTCCTCCCATCAATATGATAATAAATGAAGATGAATAAGTCAAAATTTTGTTTTATTTTTTGGTCCCAATTTCTTTTTCTCTCACCCCTTCCATTCCATGGGCAGAGGTCAGCGGGTCGTCGAGCCTGGTTTTCAATCGCATGCCATAATTCATGCAGGTGCTGGAGTTCAAGCCCTGACAAAAGAACACTTCAAAACTGTTCGATTTTGGACAAAAACGACATGGGTAGCGATCGTAAGTCGAAAAGAAGGGGTCTCCGGCTGAGTCCTCGTCGGAAGGTTTTTGTTCTTTCTCTTCGTTACCAATATTTCTCTGTTTATACAATTTTCAATACGAATTGATGAGGATACTCGTGTTATGTAGACGGAGGGAAGAACAAAAGGCGTAGAAGTTCAGAAACAAAGAGTGATAAGAAAGAGAGAGACTCCGATAGGAAGCACAAATCGCATAAATCTTCAAGTACTAAAGGTACGCTTCGCTACATCATGAGCTTACATCCAGTTTTAGTTTTGTTGTTGATTTGTTTCTGTAATGGAGGAAAGCTAGGGTTTAATTTGTTATCGAGTATCATCTTAGTATAAACACTCTCGATGCGATTAGTTACAGAATCAAGCTACTTAGTGCGATTAGGGTTTTTCAGCTGTCTGTCTGCGCATTCTGTTTTCCATTCACTAAGATACGATACCCAATTTTTAGTTTTCTGATGAATCTGATACCTTTGTTCTTGTGCAATTGGGATTTGGAACTAAGAATCCAGTTGTAAGGACTTGTATCCTGCCAATAATCCCTTTGATTTGAACAACAAGCTGATATTGTTTCTCAATTGTTGTAACTTTGATTTGAACAACAACCTGCTTCCCTTGTATATAAGTAACCTTAGAATTCCTCCTCATATCCAGAACCCTTAATATTCACCCTAAGGCATATTTTTTTTTCAATAAGCACTAAATAGATGTCTAAAGTCTGATTAGACTGATAGACAAACTTGACATCAAATTTTGTGTTCTAAAGGTATCAATTAAATATGCTATTTAACAGACAAACTTTTTACAAATATGTCACGTTATTTTTGCATTTTTTGTCTCACTCCCACCCACAAAGGTGGATAGACTGATAGAGACTCACACTTGATCTTTATATGTGTAGAAAAGACATAAATACCCTCCTATTGAGTCTTGAGTGTTTCATATTTGTTCTAATCTTATTTCTTCTACCCTCTAAAAACACACAGATGAATGGGTGTCAAACACATGTTGATGACACTGAAAATCTAAAGTAAGTTATCAGTTACTACTTACTAGTTTTTGTTCTTTAAGCCTAAATGTTTTTTTTTTTTGCATAATTTAATTATTTTGCATATTTATAGGACACATCGAAGCATATTGGTTGGAAATATACGTGTGCTTTTTAACCCAAGTCGTGGGGATATTAAGCTCGGTCAGGTACTTAACAAAATTATTATTATTATTATTATTATTATTATTATAACAATGATTAAAAAAGTGTATTGTTTAACATAATCACACAGTTTGAGCAAATTTTGACACATTTGACTTTTTTTTTTGACCAATAAGGTACGATTATTTCTTGCAAAGGCTCATAGACTTTTGGAGACATGGGGCAATATACCAATTATACTTGGTGGAGATTTTAATAGTATGCCTCAGGTATTAAATTAAATATGATTATATTGTTTTTTTAATAGTATGTATAAAGTAGAGTTAAACCTATACATTGTATTTAAATATATATTATAAAGAATTTAACCAATCTATATTTTATTTCACTTAAACATTTGTGTGTCCTCATCTATTCATATTTTTTTTCAGAGTGCAATGTATCAGTTCATAGCTTCATCAGAGGTTTTTTTTTTTTTTAGATGCAAAGTTTTATTTACTATGAATCTATGATGAATATCAATGTTTAATATTTTATGTTTATTGATTTATTTAATTTTTCTTCTCAGTTAAACATCCAACACCATGAACGCAAAAAAATATGTGGGCAGAATTGTCCATTACATTACCCAACATTTCAGTGTCATAGTAATTATTATTCTTCTAGGTTTGTTAATCCAATTATTTTTTCACCTCTTATCTGTGCAAAAGATGTAAATGCCCTCCCCTCCCCCTCATCGAAAATTGCCTTAGAAAGCTTCTTCACTGTCCAGCTATTTTTGGTAATGAGAACAAGGACATTTACATCTTTTGCACATATATAAGAAATTGCATTTTGTAGTATTTGTCCCATTTACATGAGTCCTTTTTTAAAAGGTGGAATAAAGAAGAAATAAGGTTAGCAACAGGAACAAAACACTCAACTTACCTTAAACACAAACTAAAACTCACAAGTGCATATCATGGAGTTCCTGTAAGTTTATTATTTTCTCTAATTTCCTTTTTATCTTTTTAAATTTTGTTTGTGCTTCAGTGTAATTATGTAATTTACAGTTTCTATATGAGTTGGTTATGATTTTTTTTTCAGGCGACACGTTTGACAAGAGATGAATATGGAGAACCCTTAGCAACATCTTTTCACTCCAGGTTTATGGGGACAGTTGATTACATATGGTAAATCTAATTACATATAGTTTATCCTAAAAGTTGAGTGCATATTTTACCTTACTTATTTGATGTCAAGTATGTCTAAAAATGAAAAAAAAAAGTTTGTCAATGACACTATCATTGACTTTTATGTCAAGTATGTTTACCTTACTTATTTGATGGAATGAATTACTTATTTGATGGAATGAATTACTTTCATAACAATCCATTTTACAAAAAAAAAAACTTAAATGTACATCAGACTAGAAGTCATTACATATGAAATTTTATTCTAACTTTCTAACTGATGATAGATACTTGAAGAACAAAATCAGGCCTGAAGAGAGACAGAGGTTTCATTTTTTCAATAGTTTTTTTCTTCCGGAAGCTAGCTGACCCAGAAAAAGAACCTCTAGATGCCCTTGAAGGGAAAACAGCTTTTCAACGCGTAAGAAAGTGGACATGAAAAGTTAATCTTTTTGAGAAAGACTTTGTCTTTATTCCTGTAATTTACAAGTAAGTTGGAAAACAGTTTGCTTTCTATACATTTCATTTGAACAGTTGACAATTATTTCTGTTGTTTGACAGCTATCATTGGAGTCTTATTGTGATGTGTCATCTTGGGGAAGTTGCGAAATACAAGGGTATATCTGTCATTTCTCTTTGACATCTTCAAGTATTTTATGAGGCATGGTTATCCCTTTTTTCTAATGTTATAATCTGGTTTATAGATGAAGAAGATGTAACTGAGTTGATTAAAGTGCCATGTGTTCTGCATATGGATCCTATCAGAGGTAGTCATACTGGTTTGAAAGGTCTTATGCAAAGGTAACATTTTTTTTATTATATAAACATTTTATTTTATTTTTAAATTATAAACCTTTAAATATGCCATTCTAGCTATCTGAAAGAAGAGTGGAAAGGGAGGCAGCAGGAGGCATCTAAAGATATATCATCAAGATTCGATAATCTACGCTTTATTTCACTTGAGGTATCATCTGGATAAATAATGTTTCAAAATTATTTGAGAAATGGAAAGGAAAAATATACGAGGGCAAAATTGTGAATTTGTATTAAATTCTAAAATCTGAATTTTGTGTTGCTTTTGCAGTTACCACAGCAGCCGAATTCATTCGACTGTGGTTTATTCTTGCTCCATTATGTAGAACTTTTCTTGGAGCAAGCCCCGATTAATTTTAATCCATTTAAAATCACAAAAAGTGTCCACTTTGTAAGGACATGGACCATTTATGTAAAAATTAATAATATAAGTGAGCTGTTGTTTGTGAATATGTGACTCAGCTAAATACGGATTGGTCTCCACCTGCTGATGCATCCTTGAAAAGGGTGGTTATTCAGAGACTGGTGTATGATCTCCTACAACAACCTTATGATGAAGCTGAAGCCTTTTACAAAGTATTTTCCCAAGTAAGTGCAAAAAGATTTCTTTTGGCAAAGTTTCATATCAATTTTGATCCTTGTGTTAACTTTAACAACCCTTTTGTTAAATTAATAAATATGACTGTTTTGCCCTTATCCGATTCTTGGATTTTATATTTCATTGGATGCTTGCAGCTTTGACCAGCCTTTTGAAGAAGTTATATATCCAAAAGAGGATGTTGATGCTGTTTCCATTAGTAAGAGAGACGTTGATTTGCTGCTACCAGACACATTTGTCAATGACACCATCATTGACTTTTATGTCAAGTATGTTTATCTTACTTATTTGATGGAATAAATTACTTTCATAACAATCCATATTACAAATATAAAAACTTAAATGTACATCAGACTAGAAGTCTTTACATATGAAATTGTATTCTAAATTTCTAACTGATGACAGATACTTGAAGAACAAAATCAGCAAAATGAAGCCACTTGATTTAAATCTTGCAGCATTATCAGCAAAATGCAATAAAGACTTGGAGTTGAATTTGGCTAAGTCATTATTGAGTGAGATGGGCCAATGTACAACTGCTTATCCATATAATCAACTGTTTGGAGCATTAGTCTTAAAGAATTATGAAAGGAAAGATGCAACGTTGGAATTTGATGTACATAGTAGATTAGATGCAAATTTATATATTGTAAGAAATAGAATTGTATGACATTAGATTTATGCAATGGATTCTATTTTTTGTATATGGTATTTTATTTGCTATTATGAAACATTAAATACAAATTTAATTTGAAAATAAGTAAATATATAAATAATATATTTTTTTAAACATTTAAAATTATGATACGCAAAAAATGTGTGTCATATTCATTTATGACATGGCCTTTCTTGACAGGGGCTTTCTTGATACGCATTGCGTGTCATTAACACGCGCGTCGTAAGGTTACGACACACGAATGCGTGTCGTCTTCCTTTATGACAGGGCCTTCCTTGATACGCCTTGCGTGTCGTAAACGCGCATCGTAATTGCACGTCGTAAATGAGCGTCATAAATGCGCGTCGTCTCTCTTTATGACAGGGCCTTCCTTGACGCGCATTTGCGCGTCGTCTGAAACCTTTTACGACGCGCAATGAGCGTCGTAAAAGGCTGTTTTTCTAGTAGTGTATGTTGTTATCTTTGTTTTTGGAAAATATTGATGGTTTTCTTTTTGTAAGAAAATCCATAAATATTTTATATGACAACTTTATAATTGCTATTTTTTAATGACAAAAGTTTATATGCATTTTTGTCACCAAAGTTGTCTTAGAAAAATAAAGTGTTGTTTTAAATAAAGTGTGTGTGTATGTGTGTATGTGACATGAATAAACTAATCATGGACCTCTTGTGAATGTATTTGTGTTGATTTGTTAAAATGATTGTAATATTTATTTATTCATATGGTATGTAATAACTAAATAATAACTAAATAGATAGTTTTCATTTTATTTATTTTTATAAGTAATAGATTAGTTTTAAAAACAATTTTTTTATAAAAATGTATCAAGAATGAAGATGGTGGCTATTTTAAAGATCAAAAGTTTATAAACTTGATTTTATTAAAGTTTCCCAAACTTTATAAAATTATTTTTATAAACTTGTTACAAAGCATTCAAGCAAGTGGGAGCATGAAGACTTTACAAAATTTTGGTCCCTTACTATCCTTTTAGGAATGGATTTGACATTTTTTGTGATAGCTCACAAAAATATCAATAGATGGTTGGTTTATGCACATATGTTTTGCATGCTTGTGTTATTTAAAATTTATGTTTATATTATGTTATTATTGTTGTATTATATTTCACATGTATAAAATATTTTGTACATAAATAACATCACAAAAAGTTTGGTTTTAATAAAATTTACCTTTTAACATAAGACGGTAAATAGTTTTAAAAATTAAACAAGCTTTATCGTAAAACAAGCTAACGGTGGCTAACAACAAATTTCATGATTAAAATTATATAATTTTAAAATTGAGATTTTATAAACTTATCAAACTTCAAACCTTATTTTATAATATGAAGTTTTATTAAAAATTTTATAATTGTTCTTTAGAGTTTAAACAGTAGATTTTAATACTAGTTATTAACTTTAAAATTTGATCGCATCAATTATATAAAATTTAGATCTATAAAAAAAGATTATTAAAATGTGATTTTAAATAAAAGTATATAATGTATTGAACTCATGCAATAATTATGATGTAATATGTTTTTAATTAAAATTATAAAAACATCAGAAACCTCTTATTTAAACTTAAATCTATGCAATCCATTTTGAAAACACCTGCATGCCTGTAACGTCCCCAAGTTACAAAATATATTTTTCATTTAAAATAGTTAATCAATTAAAACATTTTACTTAAAACCATTAAGTGACATTCATTTAGTCGAAAACCATAAGATTTACAGATTTGTATTGCATAACAACGGAAACCAAATATTCGATGCGAGTGTAAAGTCCCTCCAAACTCTTCACACGGACAATCTGCAAAACATTTAATCTACAACTATAAACATACATCTTAGTGAGTTCCCCAATATACCGCATATTCCACCATACATATAATGCATACAAGCAAGGTCCTCAACTCTGGAGTTGATGGCTAACTCTCCTATCCACATGCATAATACATACATAGCAATCATACGTGTTATCTACTAGCACTCCATTACCAGCTATCGGCTGTCAACTACTACCGACTCTCGGTCGTCATGCAATCATCAGACTTGGGACGTAACAACATCCATACCAAGGCCAACGCCAAAAATGGAAACCACCTCATGAATACATAGTCATATATAGTCTGGAGCCATATAGACAGTTAAACAGATTATCCCACCTGAAAGCAATAAATCAAATAATAACCATTAAATAAGGCTTTATGTGACAACCCAAAATTTCTTTCTTGTATAAACCATTCAAATCAATCAAGTTCAGACTCGTTTTGCTATCTTCTAGCATTGTTTAGAGTCAATTAGAGTGTTCTAAACCTTGTGTCTTCAAAGTTAGGGTTTAGAAAGGAGTCCCAAAAGTTCAACCCTTCAAAAATCGGCCAAACACTCCAACTTAAGGAGTGTACGGCCGTACACATGGAGTGTACGGTCGTACACCCCCTTCTGGCCGTACAATCTCAAGTATAAATGAGAGTGTTAGCCTCTTTTCACACTCTTAAAGCCGAAAATCAACTTCTCTCTCAAGTATCATCCAATTTGGCTTGTAGATCTTCAAGTTGTAAGTGTTTCTGAAACGACCCAAAAAATACGACCCAAAAATTTCGTTTTTTTAATATAATCAAAACCATAATATGAGTATCATAACATAGAAAAACATACGCGATGTATCCCAAATCATAATAAAATACTGTGCGGAAAACTGTATCATACTATATCTAATCCAAAACAACTAAAACCATCCCCAGGATAAAAGCTAAGTTGTGGTGTGTGCGATGCTATCACCCCGAGCTCTTCCCTTTGCTTGCGGAAGTACCTGAAACCAAAACTGAAACTGTAAGCACGAAGCTTAGTGAGCTCCCCCAAACTACCACATACCATACAATAACATATAAACACATATTGGGCCTTGCCCACTGCATCGGGCCGAAGCCCGGAACTGCATCGGACCGAAGTCCGGAACTAACTGCATCGGACCGAAGTCCGGAACTGACTGCATCGGACCAAAGCTCGGAACTGACTGCATCAGACCGAAGTCCGGAACTGACTGCATCGGACCAAAGTCCGGAACTAACTGCATCGGACCGAAGTCCGGAACTGACTGCATCGGACCAAAGCCCGGAACTGACTGCATCGGACCAAAGTCTGGAACTAACTGCATCGGACCAAAGTCGATACCGTTGGGACCTTGTCCCCTGCATCGGACCGAAGTCCGGAACTGACTGCTGAACATCGCATAGCATAACACATCATCTAGCATGAACACATATACTGCATACTACATCGGGCCGTAGCCCGGAACACATAACACATAACACATAAAACCTAGCGCACAAATCCTGTCTGAGCCACGAAGGCATCAAACATACTAGCTACTGCATCGGACCGAAGTCCGGAAACTACTGCTAACTGAACGGGCCGGCATTGTGGCCTTAGACCCGTCCCTACTGGAAGGAAACTCACCTGAACTGGCTGAACTTGCTGGTGATCTCACTAGCTGCTTCCCGACAACTCACGGAACTCCTGCTCCCCGAACTACCAATATCAATGCAACACTGAGTCTAACTGACCCCCGAAAGGCAATCAAGTCCACCCTGGTCCAAAGTCAAAGTCCTGGTCAAAGTCAACCTTCCAGGTCAACCCTACTCGCCGAGTCACCTTACTGACTCGCCGAGTTCAAAATGATCAGATTCCTTTCATTCACGACTCGACTCGCCGAGTCAGTCCATGACTCGCCGAGTCTACCGATTTCTGAGTCCAGACCTGTTCAACTCACTGAGTCTCCACCCGACTCACTGATTCGAGTCACAACTCGAAGGGTTTGGGGTTTCGCGACCTGACTCGCCGAGTCCAAGAACAGACTCGCCGAGTCCAAGGCAATCTTCATACGACTCGACGAGTTGTTCATCCCACTCGTCGAGTTTCTCCAAAACTTCATGCTACTCGCCGAGTCCACTCAAAGGACTCGTCGAGTCCCTTCAGATCTCCTTACATGCAGAGGATTTTTGAGTCATGCATGGACTCCAAACTATAGATCCACCCTTCCCAAGCCTATTCCACACGTAAAGTTGCAAACTTTACGTGTAGAGAAGGAGATCTAGGCAAGGTACGCCATTAACTAGGGTGTAAGGCCAAGGGACTTCAAAATCGACACAATGGCTGATACTTTATGCTTCTCCAGGCCCTAAAACACTTGAATCTGAAGTAGCAACTCCAGATCCGGCTTCTAACCCAAAATAATAACATTATGGCAAAAGAGCCCCAACAACCACACATAGATCTAGGTGCAAAAAGGGTCCAGGAACTAGTTTATTACCTCCAAGTGCTCAAAATGAACTCACAATCCCAGATCTATAGCTCCTTCTTGCTCCTCCAAGTTCCTTCTTCCTTTTCCAAGCTTTAAAGCACCTTCCAAGGCTCAACTAGGAGATATGACGGCTAGGGTTTGATATCCAGGGCTAAAGAGGCAGTAAGGAACCCTAGGAAGAAGATTAAGACATTTATATAGGCCCCAAGTCCCGAATTTAGGGTTTTCCACGCACAGACCAGACTCGCCGAGTCACCTTGACCGACTCGCCGAGTCGGTCGCTTACACCTCGACCCGGATCCCGCTCGGACTTGCCGAGTCCCTCCTTGGACTCGCCGAGTCGGCCCTTAAATTAGGGCTTTTCTTTCCCTTCTTGGTCTTCGAAACTTTGGGTGTTACAACTCTCCCCCACTTAAACTAAACTTCGTCCTCGAAGTCTGCTATGGCCCACTGCCTGCGAGCTGCCTCTAAACCCAACCAACTATTCCAACACCAGCTGCCTACCCTTGCTGGCTTTTGCTCGATCCTTCCGACTAACCTTAATCCATGCAGATAACATCTCGGGTCAACCCTGACCCTGAACATCCTGGAGACCCAACTTACTCAACCGGCAATCCTTCTGGTACTCACCGAGTACTGAACTGAACCTATAGGGGTTCACCCCTTCCTGTCCTTGCGCAAATCCCTTG